GAGAGAGAGAGAGAGAGAGAGAGAGAGAGAGAGAGAGAGAGAGAGAGAGAGAGAGAGAGAGAGCGCTCCCATCCTGCCCCGGACTTCCAATTTGGACAAGAGAGCTCCCATCTGGACAAGAGAGAGAGACTTCCTGAATCTGTCAGCTCTGTCTGAACCAAGTGTGCGGATAAGGCCAAGAAGGAACCACAAGGAGATGGGCAGACCGTCAAGGCAGAAACATATACAACTAAATGAATAGCAATACAGCATCACCAGGACCTAGCCCTCCTCCAACACCTAGACCTGAACATCAGAAATTGGAAGAAGCAGAAGAAAACAGCCTTATGAATGACATCATGAAGAAGCTAGAGGCTTGTGTAGAGGAAAAGACAAAAAAATGTGAAGACCTGAGTCTACCAGGCTGACTCACAGTGTTCCGGGGCACAGTTCACAGACCTGAGTCTACCAGGCTCACTCAGTGACCAGAAACTCATTCAAAGGGTTGAGGCTTCTGATCTTGATCCTATATTCATTCTAATACAATTAATGAACTTGTTTATTCTGGGTAAGGTAAATGCCAGCCCTCCAGTCTCAGCATGGCACCTGAAAGATCCTTCAAATACGCTCTCAGTGAAGTGCACGAAAATTCTCTATCCAGGAGCCTTAATGTCCACACTTCTCTATCCAGGAGCCTTAATGTCCACAATGTTTAATTATAATGTAAAAGATCAAGTGTCTCAAGGGGCGGGGACTTAAAAAAGGGTCTTCTTTTTTTTTCATTTTTCGAGACAGGGTTTCTCTGTGTAGCTTTGCGCCTTTCCTGGGACTCGCTTGGTAGCCCAGGCTGGCCTCGAACTCACAGAGATCCACCTGGCTCTGCCTCCCGAGTGCTGGGATTAAAGGCGTGCGCCACCACCGCCCGGCCAGGTCTTCTTTTTTTTAAAACAAGCTTTCTCTGTGTAGTCCTGGGTGTCCCAGAACTTGCTAGAAACTCTGTAGACCACAGTGGCCTCAACCTATCTCTGCCTCCTGAGTACTGGGATAAAGGTGTGTATCACTATGCCCAGCTTAAGTCATAAATTTTAATGTTGGAAATAACAACACAAGAATTCTCCATACATTAGAATCCAGGGGAAATTTTAAAAGGAGAGAAGGAGGGAAAGGGGAAGGACTGAGGGAAGGAGGGAAGTGTAAGGGGCATAGAAGGAGGAAGGAAAATCTTGAACACACAGGTCAGCTGCAGTGCCTGTCACAGATATGCCCGACCAAATCCATTCATCTACTACATGAACTTGCTGAGGCACTGTCCCATTAATTAACTGGCAAAAGACTTGTTCAACCAACCAACTTCCCTTAGAAACTCCTTTCCTCTTTTGCAGCACTATTTCTTTTAATGTGTCCTCGCTGTAACTACCTCAAATGTTGCTTGGCACATATGCTTAGGGACTGGGACATGGTGGTCGACACAACAGAATTAGTTTCCAGTCACTTGGAGGTTACATACAGTTCTTATATCCACTTACACAGCCACCAACACTGCAGTAAGTATTCCTGCTTTCCTACATCCTAGCCAGCACCTAATGTTACGAGCCTTTTGAATTTTGAAGTTTATTAGAGGTGAAATAGTGTATAATTGCCTAAACTTCTGATTAGTAATGAGTTGTAAATGAATTGTCACACCCAGCTTTTTCTTTCACGTATTATTGTTGGGCCATTTTTTCTTACCGATTTGTAATTACCTGTTTGACATTCTGGATATCATAGGCTGGATTTCCAGAAGGAATCCCTGACACAGCATAATTAGAAAAGGATTTTTTCAAGGAAGTAGATGGTGGGTTTGGCTATGGGATGTCTTGTCTCCTGAAGGCTCCCGTGCTGAGGGCTTGTTCTCTGGCTGGAGGTATTATTGATAAAAGATGACATACTGGTAGCATAACTTCACCAATCCACTGATGAGTTCAGAGTTGTCTGTTAGGTGGTGGGGCCTAGACAGACGGTCACTGGGAGTGTGTCTTGGAAGGGTACATCTTATCCTTGAACCCTTCCTTTCTCTTTCTGCTTCCTGGTTAGCAGACAGTAAACAACATTCCTCGACTATGCCTTTCTCCCATGATGTTTCAGCCTTGGCAGGGGCTGACAACCAAAGGAGCCAGCCAAACCATGGAATAAGACTTCTGAAGTCATGAGTCAAACTAATTTTTCCTACCTTCTGTCCTCTAAACTGATCTCTGGTATTCTGTCACAGCAATGGAAAGTTAATATAGTAGGTAAGGAAGACTGATAAGACGGCAGGAAAAGCAGGCAAAGGAACTGTGGTGGTATGAAGGCGGTGTCCCCGTAGTCTAGGGCATTTGAACACTTGGCCCCCCAATTGATGGTGCAGTTTGGGAAGTTGAGGTGTGGCCTTGATGGAGGAAGTATGTCACTGTAGGTGGACCTTGAGAACCCTGCTTGTGACTCAAGCTGTGAGCCCTCAGCTTCCCACTCCTGCCAGCTTGCCTGCAGCTTGCTGGCATGCCTTCCGGCTGAGACAGACAGATTCACGCCTCTGGAACTGTAAGCCCAAACAAACCCATTCTTCCATACATTGCATTGGTCATTGTGGGGGCCCATAGAGGCTCTCTAGTGAGACCTTACTCAGGGTCAGAGAATCTGGGCTTGCTTTACCCAGCAGGGCTGCATAATGGAATGATTTGGCCACGGGCATGGTTACCAGGTGTTTTGAAGGATCTACACTTGGCTGTACGCTGTGCTTTGATCTTGAAAGGGGGAGGTGTTTTTGCCCTGCCCCTTGGCATTATATAAAAAGCCCTTTGGAATAAACCTTGAGGCGGCTGGGTAGTGACCAGAGCCCTCCCCAAGCTATCCTGTGTCTCTGTCTTTCTTGTCGTCTCCACCTATATTTCTACCTAATACTTCCTCATTCCTTCCTGACCCCCTTCCCCCCAACCCCCCGCGCGCCCCAAGAACCCATTCGACAGGTCGGAGTTCTCCGACAGACTCCCACAGGTCATGCTGTTTTAACACAGCAATAGAAAGGTAACTAATATAGGAAGAAACAAAGCCAGGGCATTCTCTCGGGTAGAAGCCCAGAGGACAGCACCACTGCATCCTCAGGCAACTCTGCAGTAAGAGTCACACACCCTGTTAATGGCTAAGGACATTTCTAGCTCTGTGCTTGTGAGGGGTCAACTGGACTTGTGGGGAGGGTAAGACAGGATTTGAGGTGAGCTGGGAAACTGACAGCATGTACTAGAGAAACAGTACGTATCTTGATGTCAGCATTAATACAAGAGATGCACCGCATAGGAGTAAAATACTTTGCATCTATCATATCTGCAAAGATTTAAGAGGTACACAATGTCAAACTCTAGACTAGCTATGGTGACAAGGGTTTTTGCATACATGTTGTAGGGCATATAAACTGGCAGCCATTTTTAGGAAAAATAGTTGGTAGAATCTATCAAATTTAAAGCCACATACATTTTGAAGCAGGATTCTAACCCAGGAGCGTCCTCCTAGCCAGTAGCTGACCGTTGACTGCAGCACGGCAAACAATCAGGGACACCCATACGAAATTTATGATTGACAGTTTCAAATAACGAAATATGGTACTATGTACTAGCAGGAAGAGCTGCTCGTGAGACACCAGTTGTTCACTGTGTGAATTAACTGCCTTACACAGTGACACCTATGACATCGACAACAATATGAGAAAAGTGACGTTGCTGGAAAGGACTGCTACTACACAGATGAAACTGGACAATATTCTTCGCTGCTTTGCAAAGTGCCAGCATGTAGTAAATGTTCAATAAGCACTAACAATGTCATGTTATTGCTAAGCAAAAAAAAAAAAATGGAACTGTCAAACAGCATATATGATTGTTTTTTGTTTAAAAAAATCTAGCCGGGCGGTGGTGGCGCACGCCTTTAATCCCAGCACTCGGGAGGCAGAGCCAGGCGGATCTCTGTGAGTTCAAGGCCAGCCTGGACTACCAAGTGAGTTCCAGGAAAGGCGCAAAGCTACGCAGAGAAACCCTGTCTCGAAAAACCAAAAAAAAAAAAAAAAATCTAAATTATAGCTGGGCAGTGGTGGCGCACACCTTTAATCTCAGCACTCAGGAGGCAGAGCCAGGCGGATCTCTGTGAATTCGAGGCTAGCCTGGTCTACAAGAGCGAGATCCAGGACAGGCACCATAACTATACAGAGAAACCCTGTCTCAAAAAAACCGAACCAAACCAAAACAAAACTTTAATTATACTATAGGGATAAACCAAACTTTTTTAAGCTGAGATTTGGGAGATATAAACCATTTACTATTTGAGCTTTATACATGCTGGTACTTAGTATTTTCAACAAAAAGCCCTTATAAACTTAAAAGTAAGTGAGTGGGCTAGAAGGTACAGCTTGGTAGGGCACCTACCTACCTAACACGTGCAAGATTCCGACTTCAATCCTCAGTACAGCACAGAAACCATGTGATGAAAAAGCATAGCTGTAAAGCTCTCTTTAAAACTGGGACATAAGACCAGTTCTGAGGTGGTGGCAAGCTGGGTTAGCCCCCAGGACAGCAAACAGGTAGGTGGGGAAACCACAGTAACCGTGAGAAGCAAAGGGCTAAGAGCCAGAGCCCAGGACTGGAATTAACAACAGTGTGTGGCATGGCTTTACTTCTAACAATGGAAAAAGACACCATGCCCTGTTGCTAAAAACACCATTTTGATGAGGGTATTGAAGGCTGGTGAGGGTTTTGTTGTTGTTGATGTTGTCTGTTTGCTTTTTAAATACACACCGTTAAAAGTCTTAGTGGGTACATCAAATGAAACAGAAACTTAAAATCTTGTGTGACGTTCATAATGTTGAAAGTCAGACATGTTGCCAAAAGAACATTGGCCTACAGAATCTCCAGCCTTCCTGTCCCTCTCACTGTCTGCCAGGGTTACTTAGAGAAACCTCTCCAGTTCCATCCAAAGACCTCAGTAAATGACCATACCACGTGACAGAGACAAAGGCCAAGTGGAAGTTCAATCATATTTATTTTTTTATACAGAATTGAGAATTAAAACCTGTACCAAACTCCAGATAAAATGGTTTGATTTGATGGATTTGGCTGCATATTTCCTGTATGCAGAACATACTGGATTAGAAATCAACAACACAGGTCTCATTTGATAAAATGTAGAAGTAAAAAAAAAATTAAGTTAAAGTATTAGCATGTGTATAATATAGTGTCAGGGAAATTGTCTCTGTCAATCACCCATTTTCCCAGTTAAATTAATCTATAGTGTCCTTTTTTTGAATGGCTTGTTTTGTTTTCTTTTCCATTTTTTTTCTGAAAGTTGTCCATTCAGAAGTTGCCTCTAATGACATCGTAAGAACACAGTACTCGGTGACACATCCGTCACTTCACGTCACCTTCTGCAAATTCCTTTCTGCTGAGCCGTGCCCAGGAGGCTAAAGCTTGTTCTCTTTTATGTGCTTCTCACACACTGGGGAATCACTGAAAGAAATACATCTTACATCCTAAATACTACAGTGAAACGCTGCCTAAAAAAATCACCTAATGTTAACAAAATCATGATGTTCTCACTATTTAAATGCTTCAATAAGGCGTATCTTACTGGGAAACACATCTTGATCCAACTTTTAAAAAATTGCCTATCCTAGGACAAAATTTGGAGATGATATGGTAAAATTTATTGATTTAGGACTAAGACGACTAGATAGTCTGACAGATGTCCTATAGTACGAGATAGTATATGAATAGCACCTTATTATGAATTCTTAGAGAGTATTAATACTTACAGTAATACTAAAGAACCATCAAGAGATTGCTCTAAGTGCTGGGGCTATAGCTCGGTTGCAGAGCACTTACATGGGTTCAATCAGAACTAGAAAAAAATAAAAGGTATTGCCTTCTGATTTCTAGTTTTAGCTCTCTTTAACAAAAGCCATATTTTATGGTCTTAAAAACAACAACAACAGAAATTATATCTGGCTTTATCGATTAGTAAACAGTCAGGGGCCATATTTTATTCTAGAAAAATACTATATTCATTAAAAATGTTTAAACTAATTTACTAAAAAATTATTCTAATATTTCATAATGCCACAAGCTTATTAGAAAATTGCTTCTAAAACTTGGTAACATAAACCATCAATGATTTAACTTTTTTTTTAAAAAAAAAAGAGTATCTTTTTTTTACATTTAATAACCTGAAATGCATGTATAAAAATATCTTTAAATACAGTAACACTGTCGAGTTTTGTTAGGTCCCTTGTGTTTTGGTTTATTTTTGATTTTCCTCAGAAAGAATGTACATCTCTTTTTGCAATTTTTGCTAACAAAAGAGAAAACGAAAGAGTGCTCCCTTTCAACCTAGTAGCAACATAAATGCCTACTCGCCCCTCTCAGAGTGCTCAGAGAGAGCAAGGAATTAACTGGACATTAATTGAGGGTTCTTCAAGGAAAAGAGAAACCACTTAAGGGCGCCGGAAGCAACAGGAGTCCGCGCTCTGGTCTGCTGCCATGTTCAGCGAGTACATAGACAGAGCGCCAAGCCCCGCCCCTTCCTCCTCTCTGCCCCTCCCCGGGAAAGTGCGGCCCTAGCCCTCTTCTCTCTGACAGTAGGGTCTTTTGATACAAAGGCTGAGAGAAAGCTGTTGCTTTGTTCTTTGGGGCGCTTCTCAGCCGTCTTGCTTGCCTTGCCTTTGAGGGGTTCTGACATGCCTGGTTCATTTCCCATCGACTGGCTTTTCCGCCATATTCCACAGCTTGACTGCTTCGTCTCTGACCTTTCACTTGCCTCTTCCCACCAAGACCAAATGTACTCTGTGCATTTATATTCCAATGGACCGAAAAGGATCTTATTAAAGATCCTCAACAAAAAAAGCCCTCACCCTCATGGAAATTGAAAGTTTCCTCCCGGATTCTTGATGTCTTTCAAAAAATAAAAAATAAAAAAGAGATTAAATTCATAGATTATAAATAATGTCAGTTCAAAACAATAAACAGCTAAGGACTTCATTGCTAGTGCAGGCACACTGCCTGCCAAATGAACATGATGCTTTCAGTCCTTAAGAGCTAATAAAAAAAGTTGGTTACATAAGAGGTATTAAGTACATATCTTATGCCCTTTTTGTACCAACTTAGCAAAAGGATTAGGATAACATACTTAGGAATCAATTTTACTCAATTCAGAAGCACACATCTATATATACACTACGCCCTGACAGCGCCTTTCTGTATACTTAGATATCTGCTTCATTCTTCAAACAGTTCTACAGACATGACTATTTTAAGCACTTGAAAACTCGAAAGCAGAATTGATAATGCCTCAGAATACAAAACGCAACAGCTAATTCGTGCGTCATCAGGCTGAGTAAGATCTATGCCGGCCTGATGTTTTCAGAATAGGTCAAAAGACAGAAATATAGTTGCCACTGATGCATCAACAACATTTGGCTGCCCTTTGTCATAAGCCACAAAATTACAGTATTTTATAAAACAAACATCAAATTCTAAGCTGCATTTTGCAAGAATACAGGTTGCAATTAAAAAGTAGTTTTGTCTCATAATTGTCCCTATTAGTACCAAACTGGTCTCTTTCACACAATCTGTCATGCAAGACCTGTGACCAACGCTGCAATGACCCTTCTGCTCGAAGGACTAAGCTGCTGAATGCTCTGCAGTAAAATGACAAGAGGGGTGACATGGGGACCCTGTGCCCTTGTAAATACAGAAGGAGAAGAGACAGCAGAGCCGGCACGGATTCCAAACTGCACTGTATTCCATACAGCGGAAACTCACTAGCTATACAATGACTTTTAAAGATCAAGTTAAATAAGTTTTAAAGCATTGGTCACTAGGGTCACCAGTACAGTTTTCGAAACTGTTAATCTGGTCTTTGTGCACATTTCCTGGACCAAGCTCCCTGTCAGAATTCACTGCCTGTGGTCAGCTTTTATGGCTTAGAATCAAGGGATATATGAATTTCAGCTAATTCCTATAAAGCTCAGCCCTAGGGTAGCGGGGATTTTTAAAAGGTTATTCTGCATCATCAGTTCTGCATGATCTGTCACAGAAATGCAGGCTTGCAGAAGATGAAAAGAGAACATTTATTTATGTGTAACTTAAGTTCTTGTAAATCAGAAGCAGGCCATGATTAGCTGGCCACATGGACAAGAAGGAGTGTTGAGTATGGAGGCTGAGAGCCGTGCACCTGCAGACCGGCTTGGCTCCATCTCTTGTTCCATGAGGCCCAGGAAATGTCAGGTCGCAGCTGCATCACGTGACAACGATAATGATTACAGCCAGGTTAGAAAGGGCTCGCTTTTGTTCAGAGCAGACTCTACATCATTGAAGAGAGGGATCAGATCTTCAGACTCCAAAGTCCCTAGGTCAACGTTGGTTCCTGGAAGGCAGTCGAGGAAATCAGGGAAGCGGGTCTGCTGGGGATTGATGGCCATGGGTGTCTGAGCAGTATTTTCTCCTGGAACAGAATGAAGGACAACTGTTAGTTACTTCCTTCTTAATTTTTTTAAATTTAAATTTCTTTTGTTTATGCTTGTTTGCTGCTGCTTTTGAGACAGGGTCTCACTATGTAGCCCTGGCTGTCCTGGTACTCACACTGTAGACCAGGCTGGCCTTGAACTCAGAGATCCACCTGCCTCAGCCTCCTGAGTGCTAGGATTAAAGGTGTGTGCCACTACACCCAGCTAAATTTTATTTTTTAGGGGTATTTTGCCTGTATGTTTTGTCTATGCAACATGTGTGTGCCTGGTGCCCACAGAGGCCAGGAGAGAGTGTGAGTGCATGCACACAACTGGAGAAACAGACAGCTGTGAGCCATCATGTGGGCAGTGGGACTCGAGCCTGTGACCTCTGGAAGAGCAGCCAGTGCTCTTAACCACTGAGCCATCTCTCCAGCCTTTTCTTATAAGTTCTTGACAAGGGGACATATAGTTCAAGTGCTAACATATCTCACAATTTCATGTCCACGGACACCACATTAGTGATCTCATCTTGTTTTGGAAGAGTGTTTATTCCAGTAAGACTAGAGTTCTGCAGAACACAGTTGAGGAAAATCCTAGAATGGTAAGCACCTGGAATTTGACTGAGAATATGTTCTTTTCATAACAGTATCATGGGAGGAAATACATAGAGACCTGATATCATTCAACTGGTCCTTTTACTGAATGATCTTAGGAACACTTAACTTGTCTCATTCTCATTTTACCACCTGGAAATGGGGATCACAGCGTCCTCTGCACAAGTCGGAATAAAGTAACACAGTGTCTGCCACATCCAAGGCTGTGTCATCTATCTACTAAAGTTTTCGTTATAGGTGCTGGAGAGATGGCTCAAGTGGTTAAGAGTGCTGGATGCTCTTCCAGAGAACCTGGGTTCAATTCCCAGCACCCACATGGTGGCCCACAAAGACCTGTAACTCCAACTTCATGGGATGGAGAGATGGCTCAGCGGTTAAGAACACTGGCTATTCTTCCAGAGGGCCTGAGTTCAATTCTCAGCATCCACAGGGTGGCCTACAAACACCTGTAACTCCAACTTCAGAAAATCTGATGCCCTCTGGCCTCCAGACACCTGCACACATATGGTACACATAAACTCACACAGGCACACACATGCACAAAAATTTAACAATTCAAAATATCATTACGATCTTCTAATTCTTGAGAATACCTATTTTAGTCAAACAAAATCTGTTTTAAAGAATTCTTCCTATTCCTTCTCACCAGGAATGAAAGCATGAGTTGACAAGTCAAGCTTCTTCATCAAGGTTAATAATCTCAAAGTATTTCTTTTGATTCTACCATGTCATTGTGGTCTTTTTAAATCTTTGTCATTTTAGCTATTTAAGTTCATCACTTAAGCTACTTAAGACAAAAAAAAAAAAAAAAAAAAATGGCCAGTTCTTCCAGGGGTGTGATTTTCATGGAACATTCTGGAAGGATAAATGACTGCCCAGCTTTTGCTTATTATGCTAATATCCCTTTGTTCCATCTTCACACAAGTCCAGCTGTGTGTGCTTGTTGCAGAGGGAGAGGGTTCTCAGCCAGCTTGCTCCTGGCCAAGTGGTCCATGGAACTGGCAGATTCAACAATCTTTTCTAGCCGCCATTGAGCTCTGCCTGCTCTCAGCTCCTCCCTCAGCTAATTACTAAATATTACATGACTGACTCTCTTTAACAATTTATGCCCATTTCCTACAAATACCTCACAGAGGGGACCCTGAACTCAATGAGTTGACACTCATTTAACCAGATTAGTAGGAACCACAGTGTTTATCAAATCCATTTCATCAACATCCTTCTTCAATGGAGGGGCAGAGTTGGGGATATCATTCTCATCTCACTGGTGAGAAGCTGAGGCCCACAGAGGTTCCATAGAGAACACTGTTACCAGGGAGTGGGGAACAAAGATTCAACTTAGGCTGAGTGTTGCCTATGTTCTTTTCAAGACACCATTTAGTTGTTTATTACAGCTTCAATAACACTCCCCATTTACCCACTGGACATTAGTTTAGAAACCTATGGGAGAGAATATATCTTTTTAATGTCTCCTGAGGTACCCACGCTCTCACTTTATTTAATTTCACTTTTTCTCCTTCCTGGATCCACAGTGTTTAAAAGATGAAAGTAAACAGCACAAGAAGGAGCCACCTCATGAGGCTATGTCAAAGAAGCAAAATCTCTCTCTCTCTCTCTCTCTCTCTCTCTCTCTCTCTCTCTCTCTCTCTCTCTCTCTCTCACACACACACACACACACACACACACACACACACGTGCATGTGGAAGGAAGGACAGACAGGTAGAAGGACAAACAGACAGACGGATGGACGGGTGTATGAAGAGATGAAAGGGGTGAGGAAGAGAAGCAAAGTAATAAACTGAGTACAGCAACCAACGGTGCAAAACATCCCTATGTGATGCCTCACAAGCCAGCCCCTACTCTGCCCTCCATCTACCGCTGTCAGCCTGCAAGCCCTGGAGGTGCTGCTCCAGCATCCTGCACTTGTGCAGAGCTGCACTGTGAACCTGGCTCCGAGTCCGGCATTCAGATTCAACAATTTAGACTCACAGAAAGCAGCACACAGCAGCTGTACATGTGTATGAGTGTTTTTGCCTGTATGTGCAACTCCTGCATGTCTGGTGCCTACAAAGGTCAGAAGCAGATGTTGCATGCCCTGGAACTGGAGTTATGGGTGGCTGTAAACCACATGTAGATGCTGGGAAATGAACCTGGGTCCTCTGGAAGAGCATCAAGTGCTGAACCATCCCTCCAGTCCAACAACTGCTTCTCTGTGTGAATAATAGAAGAGAAATTGCAAAGGTATTTACAAAGAGTACATACGCAAACTGTCTTTTATTTTTGGCTTGGGTAGCAGGACACAAAAGAGCTGTATGTGAGCTGGGGATAGTAGTGCACACCTTTCAATGCTATTACTGCTGTACTCGGGAGGCAGAGGCAGTTGGATCTCTTTGAGTTCAAGGTCAGCCTGGTCTACATACCAAGTCCAGGACAGCCAGAGCAACATAGAGAGAGCCTGTTTCAAAATTAAAAGAAAAGAGAAGCCCAACACCAAAGTGTAAACTTACTTAAAACACTGAGATTTTGCAATTTTTAAAAAAGATTTCTTTTGCCGGGCGGTGGTGGCGCACGCCTTTAATCCCAGCACTCGGGAGGCAGAGCCAGGCGGATCTCTGTGAGTTCGAGGCCAGCCTGGTCTCCAAAGCGAGTTCCAGGAAAGGCGCAAAGCTACACAGAGAAACCCTGTCTTGAAAAACCAAAAAAAAAAAAAAAAAAAAAAAAAAAAAAAAAAAAAAAAAAAAGATTTCTTTTTATTTTATGTGTATTAGTGTTTTGCCTGCATATGTGTCTGTGTGAGGGTGTTGAATCCCCAGAACTAGAGTTACAGGCAGTTGTGAGCTGCCGTGTGGGTGCTGGGAATTGAACGCTGGTTCTCTGGAAGAGCAGCCAGTGCTATAACCACTGAGCCAGCTCTCCAGCCCTGCAATATATATATATATTTTAATGGCTCAATCATGCGGTTCTCAAATGTCAATTTGTCAGATGGCAAATGTCCCAATGTCAGGAGTTTGGACATGTCTACTCTACAGGATGCACAGGCTGGGACTAGGAAAGTCAACTTGGTTGTCTGCTTGTCAATTGCTGAAGGAGGGTGTTATGTTAGAGATTGCAGCTGACAATTAGAATCCTCTGGGTTGTTAGTTAAGTGACTACTGTCAATCATTCCCCAAACCAGAAAGTAACACAAAAAGATCAGCAGGTTCATAGAACCAAAAACAGTAGAAATCCCAGTTGAAAGAGTGGACTATTCATTGCAACTAAAAGGGGGGGTAGAGTCACAGCACAGTCACCCCCACCGCAGGTAAGTACAGTATGAGGAAAGGGTGATACTAAAAAGGATGGGGGTGGGTCTTAAAAGCCCACGCCTATGGGAAGCTGTATTTGTGGTAACTCTGAAGAGTCCGCTGGACAGTAGCAGTGCCTGTGGATTGAGAGGGCTTTTAGCTGGCCCTCTGTGTTCAGGGGTTGTGGTTCCCATTGGATTTTAGGGACTGCAATAACCAAGGGGACAATTTGAAATGTGCCCACCTGTGTCCATCTCATCCATGTTGCTGAGGAAGTCTTCTGGAGTTGTGGGGACGCTGTAACACCCCAGCCCCAGGCCACTGTCCGTGCTCTGCTCCCTTGAATGATAGGGTCCTCTGCAGAGAAAAAAAAAAAAAAAAAGTGGAGACCTGAATGTGAGTCTACTAAATAAAGATCACAACTAAAATGCAGTCACAGAACTCCGTCAGTGAAAGGCAGAAAATTCTACAGGGCCCTTTAATTTTGAAACATAGCCTGATCTTAAAGAACAAATCAATGATACGCAAACAAAACTGGCCACTCACCATACACGGCTACTGCTTTGTCTCAAAATAACCATTTGGGCTCTATTCTATGTACAGATTATGGTACATGATACTATTTATGTGTAATCTTAAAAACCAGACAATGTTGCTGAATAACACTCATAGACATGCACATTAACAGTGAAAGATGTATGCATATAGCCAGCCATGGTGGCTCATGCCTACAATCCCAACAGTCAAGAGGCTGGGGAAAAGGGATCCAAGAAAATAGCCAAGTTGACTGTGATGGACACACACCACTCTCTGACGAGTGACCTGGCCGCTCCTGGGGAAAGAATGAAGGGAAGACAGAAAATTGGTGGTGGTAGAGATGGGCTCAAACCATACTTGAAACACAGCAAGCTGGATGGCGGCTACCTTAGCTTTCTTTATATTTTTCTATTCTTTAAAACAAAAACTTAAATCAATTCATTCATTATCTTGGCTGCTTGTTTTTCCACCTCTAACTTGATTTGTATTTGCATGCCAGGAGCCTTGATAAGAGAGCAGAGAAGAGCAGAAGCACAACGGATATAGCCACCCTCCCCCATTAGGTCTACAATTAAGGTTGACTTGTCTATCGTTCAGAGATTTCTGGCTAAGTCATCTTTTCCTTCTGCTACTTTTCTTTCTCCTTTTTAGAGCCAACATCTCTATTTTAATTATGAAATAACTTAAAACTCACACCAAACATGCAAAAAAGAAAGCAGTTTCCACATGCCTTCCACCTGCTCCCTTAACAGAAACAGTTTTCATGATCACACAGGAAAGTAACACTATTAACGACACTATAAACCTTATTCACCCTTTTCCATAAATACCTCTGAATTTTCTTGTTCTATTTGCTATGACATGCTTTTAACCCCATCCTTACTCCCAAGAACGTCAAGATTCTTACAAGTAATTACCAAGTAGCACTGTCCTGTGTAAGTGTCACATGCTAATCACTGAGAGATGTCCTCCATGTCATGTGACTAGGTCTTCAAATTGAGTTTTAAAGCTTCCTTTCTCTTTCTTCAGTTGGCTCTCCCCATTCTCCCCATCCCCCAAGAACCCTGCCTGTTCTCCATGTTATCAAACACCCCACTACAGCCTAAACCATAGGTAAGAAAGCAAAAGCCAATGAATGGTCCCCCATGTGAACTTACCCATTGAGGAAAGGATCTGAGCTATTGTTGGTGATGGACCTCATATCTGTGGTCATAGCAGGCGGGTTGACAGAGGCCATGGTCTCTTCCATGGGGAGCTGTCTGCAGAGGGCAGCTTCCTATACAGGAGTCAGAGGGAAATGGAGTCACTCAGTTGCCACAAAGGGTTGCATCATAATACACTTCACATGAAAACTGCTCAAACACAACATACTTTGTACCTATTTCAGTAGGTCAGAGTCATCAGGAGATTAGCATTCTTTCCCCAGTCTTCCAGACATGCCACCTTCTCCCACTCCCAGCTAACAGAACACTGGGCCTCTGGGCACTTTAAAACATGGAAGTGGTAAGACACCCAAGTCTCCAAACACATTCACACTGACAAGTTAGCTCTCTTCTGGGGTCTCAGACGAAATCTAAAGCAATCAAAGCAACAGGACACCCCTGGACTAGCATGGACATGCTAGTTTCTCCCATTTACCTGCCAGTGTGAATGGGAGGTTCAGAGTTCAGGTGCTACACAAAATTACACTTAGCAGTTGGTGTTAAGACACCAGATTTGAATAAAACAACCAGTTAAAAAGTCTGCTTTTAAAAAAAAAAAAACAAACCAGGGTCACAAGGTGGCTCTGTTGTCATGGGCATTCACCACCAACCCTGACAACCCAAGTTTCATTCCCAGGATCCACACAGTGGAAGAACCAACTCCCTCAGGGTGTTCCCTGACCTCCATACCAATGTCACACTACAGATGTACATGTTGTACACATAATAAATAAGTATCATATCAGAGCTGGTGAGATGGCTCAGCTGGGTAAAGGTGCTTACTGCATAAGCCTAGCAACTTGAATGAAATCTCTAGGCCCACACAGAGTGGACGGGGAGAACTGACTCCACAAAATAGTCCTCTACCCTCTACATACAAGCCTTGGCACAAGCATGCCTGCACTTACATACACACATCATACACACTCACATATTCACACAACAATAATAATGTTGAGTTGACTAAAATGGCTGAAAGTTGGGGGAAACTCCATTTCCAAACAAAATCCCACAGGCAATTCGATGTTTGATGGGTTATGGATTTTATTTTTTTAAACTAGCATTGATACAAAAAAAGAGCCAATCTAAAATGTTATGAACTTGACTGCAGGGACACACTCCAGACAGAAATGACCAGGCATCACACCCCTTTCAAGATGGTGGCTATTTCCAGAGAAGAATACTCTCATATGTTTCTACTGACAAAACCACGGTTGAGTCCTGGCCATATTCAGTGTTTTAATTTCCAGGCTGAAGTCATCGATCTTACATCCTTAAAATCCCTAAACCATGGCTACAATGACAAACAGAACATTCCGGCTATCTGAGCTCTAGGATGTTGGTTAAATCTCTTTTGCTAAAACCTTCATGTGATGGTTTAAAGTGCTGCTGTCTAGGCAATGAAACTGGAAAACCTTCAGTTCCGTGTTCACCGTATTGTTACTGCTGCTTACGGTGCCATGATTCATAAACCATGAGAGGGCTAACTGTTAAACAACTGCATCGAGGAGGCTGGAGAGATGGCTCAGCGGTTAAGAGCACTGACAAGAGCTCTCCCAGAGGACTGGGGTTCAATTCCCAGCATGCACATGGCAGCTCACAACTGTCTGTAACTCTGGTTCCAGGGAACTCAACGCCTGTGGCAAAACACCAATGCAAGGTAGCAAGACAGTTGGTGGGTGCAAGCACTCGCCATGAAAGCCTGATGATGTCTTTGAACTCACATTAAAAAAAAAAAAAAAAAAAAAAGTCAGATGAAGTGGTGTGCACAGCCCTGCAGAAATGTTGAGAAACTTCGCCTCGGCAAAGTGGAAAGGATTAACTCCTGACAGCTGCTCTCCACGTGTGCACCATGGCACAAGTGTGCTCACACATGCACAAAATTTTAAAAAGATAAAAACGTTTTTAAAATCAGGAAAGGGCTTTAGAGGAATCACCAGGTTTCCGCTTTGCCTCTCTATCTTAAAGGTAGCCACACCAGAGAAAAGGCGTGACTACCCAAAAAGCAACCTTTAAGAAGAAACAGAAAGGGCTGCCTTTAATCTCAATACTCAGAGGCACAGGCAGGCAAATCCATGAGTTGGGAGGCCAGCCAGGGCTACAAAGTGAGACCCTGCTTTAAAAAAAAAAAGGCAGAAAGTGATGACATCATATACCTAGGAATAATCTAGCTTACCTAAGAAAATGACAAAAGACAGGTAAAAGCCCCTTAGAGAACTATTCCCCCTAAAGCCACTGTTCAGCTGTGTTAGTGACATAAGCAAAAGGGGGGTCTTTAGAAAGGGAAAAGAGCCGGGCGGTGGTGGCGCACACCTTTAATCCCAGCACTCAGGAGGCAGAGCCAGGCGGATCTCTGTGAGTTCGAGGCCAGTCTGGTCTACAGAGCAAGATCCAGGACAGGCACCAAAACTACACAGAGAAACCCTGTCTTGAAAAACCAAAATAAATAAATAAATCAGGAAAGCAAACTATTTGGAGGGAAGGAAGAGAAAATTAAGAGAGGAAGAAGAAAGATGCTGGAGGGTTGTCAGGGGTAAATAAGAAAAAAGTGTAACAATATATATGTATGAAAATGTCAAAATGAAATCTGTTTCTTTGTATGCTAACCAAGAAAAAAATTTAAAGACTACATAAAAAAGGAGAAAGCACTGTAGTATGTTAGGGAAAACACTCACTGTGCCCTTTTTCATTTATTCTCTGGATTTTAAATCCAAGAGAAGTGCCATTCCATCCTTTAGCATCAGGTCCTAACTGATACCAATCACCAAGACACCAAAAGAGGAAATGCTACATTCTGTCGGTAGGGGGCTCACGGGATCATGTTTCCACCTCCTTCAAATAACTAACAAAATACAAGAGACCACAAGGCACCCCTAAGGATTACTTTAAAAATAAATCGGACCATTTATTATTAACAGTGCAATGAGCTGTTTAAGATTACTGCAAGACCATTCGTGGGTCACAGATCATTCCCAAGAGCAGCAGACCTCTACTTCCTACCTCCCACTGAATGGGCAGTGGAGGCAAGGAGCCCAGGGGCCTATCCACCACTCCACACTAGCATCGGCCTCTGCTGCTGCTTCCACCTCCTGAATCTGCACAACTATTCCCTCTGTCTGAAACATGCTCCTCAGATCGTCCCAAGAGCCCATTTCTTTCACTTACTAACCTACAAATGCCACTTGTCAGAGACATTCCTCCCTGCCTCTATCTAAAGGAGCACCCCACCCCATCACTGTCTGTCTGTCTGTCTGTCTGTCTGTCTGTCTGTCTCTCTCTCTCTCTCTCTCTCTCTCTCTCTCTCTCTCTCTCTCTCTCTGTTTTTCTATGTGCATTGGTGTTTTGACTGAATGTATGTATGTCTGTGTGAGGGTGTCAGATCTTGGAGTTACAGACAGGTGTGAGCTGCCAAGTGAGTGCTGGGAATTGAACCTGGGTCCTCTGGAAGAGCAGTCAGTGCTCTTAACTGCTGAGCCATCTCTCCAGCCCCACTGTCTGTCTCTTAAGCTGTATTTATTTTCTTCACAGCAACTTAGGTTTTATCTTGTCCTCCCCAAGGACCCCAAATGTTAAGTTCCACAAGGGAAGGGATCTTACTATGTTCATTCCCACTACCTGTAACCATGTTAACTCTGTAGTAAATACTCAAAATAATATATACTAAGTAAATGAGAAATAGAGCATATTCAAGTAAAAATATTTTTAAATTATGTTAGTAATAAAAAATAAGTTAAGAAAAAAAATCACACTTTCAACCACAAATGGGTCTACATACATCTTAACCAGCCAGGCACACACTCTCCACACACATTCTCCCCTGTCCTTAACACAAAATGAGCAGTGCTAAGTAGCCAGTGGCAGAAACAGTGGCACCAAATACTAGGAATTGAATCTTGGCCCCGCTGTCTCCCAGTGACTTATTTCACAGTTTTGTCATTTGCCATTTCACAGTGAGGATAATAAAATCGCATGTGCAAGGGGCAGCTATGACAGAGATGCTCAGAAGAGAGCTTCCTCCAGAAGTCACTGCATAGATGTCTAATTATCACGTCACCACGCATTCCTATACCAACCTCAAAAGCACAGGTTTTAACCAAAATAAATACATCAGCAGCAGAGTAGTCACCTAACAAGTCAAGGCCCTGGGTTCCATCCCCAGCACTACAAGAATAAATTAATAAATAGATAACTTTAAAAATATCACTCACTGTTGTGTGTGTGGAAGTGACCCACTTTGACCTAAGAATTTCTTATTAGTTAACGTTGACCTTGGAAGGATTAAATCAAAATGTGAAATTCATCACAATGCTAAGAAAACATAAAAATGGAGGGGAGGGACATTTATAAACCTACATTGCCTAAAATTAGTTTTAATTATACAATGGTGAGAGTTATATTTTATAATATAATAGTTCTACACTTTGAACTTTAAAAATTCTACCTGCCTGGTTTTCTGTTGTGGTGTTGTTTTGGTCAACTTTGACACATGCTAAAGTTATCTGGAAAGAGGACTCTCACTTGAGGCAATACCTCCATCAGATGGCTTGTAGGCAAGACTGTAGGGAATTTTCTTGATTAATAATTGATGTGGGAGGGCCCAGCTCACTGGGGGCAGTGCTACCCCAGACAGGTGGTCCTAGGTTGTACAAGAAAGCAGGCTGAGTAACCCAGTAAACAACATTCTTCCCAGGCCTTTGCTTCAGTCCCTGCCTGTAGGTTCCTGCCCTGACTACCCTCAGTGATGGCCTACCCTCTGTAACTAGAAGACAAAATAACTCCTGTCCTTCCCAAGTTGTTTTTGGTTTGTGGTGTTTTAGCACAGCAATAGAAACCCAAGTAAGGCACTACAGCTTTGAAAATTAAAAAAAAAAAAAAAAATTCCCCATATCTGCCCACGAATTTGGGGGCCGGGAAACAATACCAAATGCTAAAAACAGCTTGTCACCAGCATGTCCTTATCAAAACAGGAGGATTTTGAGCTTTTTAGTTAGTTGTTGTTGTTGTCTTTTAATAAATTTAGATATAAAATTAAAAGTCCAGATCAGTATGATTTTGACTGTCACAGGACAGCCAC